GAGTGAAAATGATTTGGCATTAGTGGAAGAAACATTCTCTGCAAGTTCAGGGTGGTTTGATTGGTTCAAAACGCGATTGGGCGTTCATAGTGTTCATGTACAAGGTGAAATTGCAAGTGCTGATGAAAAAGCAGCTAGTTTTCCTGGTGAATTACAACAGATCATTGAAGATGGAAATCATACTGATGATCAGATATTTAATGCTAATAAAACACACTTATTACGAGAAAAAATGCCCACTAAAACATTTTTAGCAAAAAATCACAGCCTGGCAACAAGGTTTTGAAAGTCCATGTAAAACTTTTACTATGTGGCAATGCTTCTGGAGAGTACAAAATAAAGCTTCTCTTTATCATTCACAAAATCTTCACCTGCTTAGAAGTTTGGATAAAAATTTTATCCTTGTTCGTTGGAGATCCAATAGAAAAGCTTGGATGATAAAAACTATTTTTGAGGATTGGCTTAAAAACTGTTTTTGCCTTGAAACTAAAAAGTACTGCAAATCATTAAATTGTAATTTTAAAGTCTTGTTGATATTAGATAATACACCTAGTCTTCCAACAGCACTGAATAATTTGTGCAAAAATGTAAAAGTTATTTATTTACGAACTAATACTACTTCCATCATCCAGCCAATAGACCAAGATGCAATCACATCCTTTAAGGCATATTACCTACAAAGAACTTTTTCATAAGCAACAGAAATGATTTGACTTTACTGGAAAGGAGTAGAAGGCCCAACCTTACAGCACAGACTTTGAAAAGGAAGGATGAAGAGTTTTAGAGGAAGTGAGAAGGAGGAAGAAAAGAAAAGACTAACAGGAAAGTGTGAAAAAACAGAAATGACTACAGGAGATAAAGCTATGACTTTGACAGAATTCTGGAAGACATTCAATATCAAAAATGCATTGAGAATGTCAAGAAAGCATGGAATGAAGTAATGTCTAGCAATCTGAGAGTGGTGTGACAGAAGATTATTCCTTATTGTGCAAATGATTTTAAATAATTTGAAAATGAAGTATCCCATGTTATTAATGACATAACTGAGATTGGCTTCAATCTAGGACTAAAAGAAATTGAAAAAGGTGTTCAGGACCTGCTTCAGTCACATGATAAAGAGCTAGATGATGAAGACCTAATTAACCTCAAGAGAGAATATGCTTACGATGCTCAAATCGATGATAATGACAAATTGATGTGGCACTAAAAAATTTACCCTTATAGAAATTGACAAAATGTTTAGAATTACTGAAATTTTTGAAGAAAAAATCTTGAACAGCAATCTTAATCTCAAGTGATCAATGAAAGCTTGTCAGGAAATTGAAATGTCCATCCATTGCTACGGAGTATTATATGATGAAAAAAATTCCACAAGATGACTCTACACCAATTTTTATCCAAGAAAGAATAATTGTATGTATGTATTGTACTCCCTATATATGTGGTATAAATAAAGATTAAATAATAATCATGTTTTTCTAAATGAACCTTCATTTTTTACTTAACATGTTTAACATATTTCTTTTTTACCTCATATATAAAATTTAATTAATAGATTTGAAAAATTCTTGGCAACAATCAATGAATTCAATTATTGTGATATTTTTCATGGCAACAATAACTGCGATAATCAAGATATTCCTGTAGTTGCTTTTATTTTTCTGCAATAAATTCTGAGCTGGATATGTTTGATCAGGCCTTGTATTATTGTCATTGCCTAATTAGGCAACTACATCAGTGCTGTAACTAGGCAGATGCAACAGGTGCACCCGCACAGGGCCCACTTGGAAGGGGAACCCAAAAATACATGTATTTGTGTTATTATTTTTCCAAACCTAATTAAATAAGGGGCCTATATGCAAATTCTTGCACAGGGCACAGGAATGGCTAATTACGGCACTTAACTACATTATCACTTCAAGTCAAAACAACTCAAATTAATTTGTTATATGAATTTTTTAATGATTTTTAAGATTTCTTAGTAACTTGTCAGATTATATATATATATATCTGACATGTTATTTATTCTCCATTAGAACAATCTTTTATTGATTTACAATTTATAAGTTTACATCATAATATTCTATATAAGAGAAAATCTTAAAAATCTAAATTTAAAAAAAAATAAAAAAAATTAGAATTCTTTATGTATAAACCACAGGTTCCCAACCTATAGGTCGCGACCCAGAAGGGTGTCGCGACAGGCTTTCGTGGGGTCGCCAACTTATACAGTGAACTAAAAAAATATTTACTATAATGCAATTTTTATTTTTAATGGTGTCTTAAAGTTTGAATAATTTCATATATATATATTTTTTAAATTAAAATAAGTGTAATCTAGATACGCTATTCTGTCACAGTTGGTTGAAACATGTGTTGAGAGTTTGAGAGGAATAAATTAGGCCTAAATGTTGAGAATGACATGAGGGTGGCGTTAACAAAAACTCACTCGCGAATTTTAAGGCTGGTTAATAACATGCAATTTCAACCATCGCATTAAATTATTAAACATAATTTAAAATAAAATTATACTAAAAAACTAATTTCGTTGTTTTTTTTTAATTACCTTATTAAAAATGCCTTTTTCAATTGTATCGGGGTCGCAGGTCACTTGGCTTTTATAAAAAGGGGTCGCCACCCGAAAAAAGTTGGGAACCATTGGTATAAACAAAACTAATATATTGCCAATTTTTTTAAAGTCATACTACTGCTGGCTCTAAAGCAAATATGTATTCTAAAGACCTTATGACAAGCTGGTTTAATAAAATGATATGAGAGATAGTTATAAATTCCAGTACTTAATAGTGAATATTTTGATAAAGATAGCTATGTTGGCTAGAATGATATAGTGTTTTCTATTACTGGTTTACATAGTAAATAACCTATCAAATTTATAAGTACAGGTATTGGAATGAATAGTGCAACTCAAGAAACTGGGTTCTGAATATTTGCTTTATAGATGCTTGTTTTTATTACATTAAACAGAATTTTTATTAATATTAGTAATAACGTATTAGTATTCAAAATTTTAATAGCTGATATTTTAATAATAAAACAATAAATAAATATTAGTAGATATCATCAATAATATCATTGATCAATTCTAAACTATTGCTCCACTTGAAATACTGCAAAGAATTTTAACAACTCAATATTATTGAATACATTTTCTAATTTCCTTCATCATTTTATTAATAATAAAAGCATAATCTCTTCAGTTACATAAAAAACAGAACATTTATTGATTTAATTATACTTTACATTACACTTGTATTTACTAACTAAAAAAACATAATTAATAATAATTTTAATATGCAGTATAGAATATATGAACTATATTTTATTGAAGATGTGTTATTTAGTATAAACATTTGATAAATTTTGCATTGTGTTAAATCTACTTTCTAACAAAAATCAATGTACAATTTAATATTAAATAAAGTTAAATATTATAACATATTTAGAATATTTTGTATTGACCTTTTTTATTAAAAGCTCAAAGACATAATAACAATAATAATAATATTGAATAAAAGTATATCATAATTATAAAAATTTATTTAAACAAATTGGTCTGATTTTTAAGATACTAGATATTAAAGAAAAACAAATTTTAAATACAAATCTAAATATCAAAAATATTTTCAGATTCCTTACAGATAAATAGAAAACATTCATGTAAACTGCTTATTATAATTGAAAAAAAAAATCCAGAAAAATAAATAAATATAAGAAAAAGAACAGTTTATAATTTTATTAATATATAGATAATAAAAGTTTTACTATTATTTTTTAAATTGTTTAATTTTCAAGATTTTTGTTTTCAAAAATGTACATAGAGTGAAACGAATATATAAATAAAATATCAAAATACTTTTTGTACTAAAATTAATTATTTTCTCTGGTAAACAAGAATAGGTTATGTAAAATACTATATATATCTTCTTCTATTGCTAGGTGTAGCAATTTTGTCTTATTCAGCATAAATAAATTTTTATTCAATCAGATAAAATGGAAATGTTTTTTTATAGGTTTCCTATTTTCCTGAAATATTCTTAGAGTATCCTTGTTTATGTTGGATTTAAAAAGTTTTTAAAATACAAGTAAAAAGAAACATTGTATTACATTTGTATTATTAGAAGTGTCTTATTTAAAGTTGTTTTTTTGAAAATTTCTATATTTATATAAGAAATTTATTTACAAAATTAAAATTATATATTTAAGACAAAGCAATTCTTAAGCAAAAATCTAGCACATTTTCAGTATAACTCAGTAATCATTTTAATTAATTAAACTTTGAGACCTATTTTAAAATGCATCTTATATAAATGACAATTATATAAGATATAAATATCCCTTTCTACATGTGATTTTTTTCTATAATCATGCAGTTTTTTTTAAAAAAAATCATCTAAAATATATTTAATTATAAATCTACATTTTAAAAATTATATAACTACTTTATTTAATAAAAATATGGTATAAAATTTATAAATATTATAGTAATAGTAATTTATTAATTATAAAAAGATGTATATTTGAAGAATATTCAATCTTTAAATGCAAACAACACTATATAATATTTATGTTAGTATCTACATACACTTTATCATCATAAATTAACTAAACAGCAATAACATTAATTGCCTTTAGCAGAATGGTACTAAAAAAATTATAGCACTAATATGAATTAAAGAATGTTAATTAACATTAGTGAGGTTGCGGCTGAAGTTTCATCTCTAAAATGTGAACGTCAAGCGCCACTCAACATTCACATTTTAGAGATAAAAACTTTGGCCGCAACCTCGCTATTATCTAACTCTCATCATCATTTTGAACGAGAAATATTACATTATAAACCAAGTGTCTTTCACTGTTAGAAAGACACTTGGTTTATAATGTTCATTGTTCGAACTTCTAGTGAAATTGTTTTAAACATTAACAATAGAAAACTGTTTTGTTTTTATTTTGTATCATGTAAATTGAAAATTCAATATAATTGTATGTCTTTTAGAATTGGTTACTGTCTTTTTACATGATATGAATTAAATATGAATACGCCATTCATATATACAGTTATGTATTTATTAGTGTGTATTATTCTCATACATTCATATAATTTTTCTTGTATTTAAACATTCAATATCCTAATTCAAGGAGCATGAAACTGCGCCTTCTCTCGAAACTGATATATTTTTTGTGACTTTCATTTAAATTTCTACAGAATATTTGAATTTGTTAATCTTGAACGAGTTTAAGGTATTTAAAAGGTAAAATAATTTTTTTATTTAATACATTAAAACCGATTTTTAAAATGAGAAAACTTGCCCTTTCAACAGTCTCCAAACTGAAATCCATTATATAAACCAGACGATCTAACAAATACCCATGTTCCTTCACGATTACGCAGATGAAATTTATAACTTGCAATTTAATTTTTATATTTAAAAAAAATATATTTAAAAAATTAAAATAATAATAATTATTATTATTTCTCTTTTTTCGAAATTTTACTCGATTGACCAAAATACTTCGCTACCCTTCTCCACAACAACACCGAAATAATAATATACGACAAGCTACCGCCCTCTAGCGTACAGAATTAGAAACGCTCACCGCATTAAAAAAAAGAGGGCAATAAAAAAATAAAAAAAGGCGGAAGTATAAGATTTTACGCATTTATAAAAATTCAAGATTAAAAATTAAACTTTTTTTATATTAAAAATCGCCGTTTTATTAAAGACAATTTAATATAATTCGTTTTAGCTGGATGTTAGTGTGTTAGAGTCGGTTGCATCCAGACCCATGACCGCGCTAGTGTCAATGACCTCGCGATTACTGACTGATCAGTAGTTGTTCGTACTTACTCTGGTTAATGCACTCTGTTGAGGTCGATGCCGAAGAGTGGGATGTATATATGCGAGGAAACTCGTCATTTGTCTGCATTGTGAATTAAAACTTTCAATATTTTGTATATAGCCGGCGTAGAAACTGGATAATTCTAGCAATCGAAGGTAAGTTTCGGCCCGACCGTCATTAACAAATTACATATATATTTTTAATTATTTAATATACCGATCATTACGCGGGATACGTTTAGAATCGCAGTTATTTTCCTTTTTTTTTTTTTTTTTTTAAATTTTATACAACGGTAAAGCTTATAATGTTAATTAAATCGGTTCGTTTTTGCGTAATTAGTATTGTTTATAGTGTTTATGGGATAGTTTCATTCATGTGTAAGTACATCGAACGAAAATAAAGTCGAATATAGCGGACAAGTTCGATGCCGCGGCGCGGTGTCAATGCACTCTGTGTTTTCCTCCCCCCCCGCTCTCCGGATAAACGCTCTTCTGCTATCTTGTATCGAACCGTTTGGCCAAAAAAATAAAAGTTTTATATATTCAAATGATTCGTATTTATCTGTTCGGATGCCTTGTTTCGTTTAGTGTCAATCGTACATTTATCTATAAATATGTTTTTATTGTTTCTGTTCGACTGCTACGTAATAATGGTAATCGGTTGCAGATCCGTTAGGTAAAGCAGATGCTTCTTTTGTATTAGTTGTAGTGTTACAGATGGAGGACAAACCTGTCAAGCTTGTGTATGACATACTTAAAAGCTGCTTTATATTGTGATTTTTATTTTATTTTATTTTATTTTTTTGTTACGTTTTCATTTTCTGTTGGTTGTGACGTTACACTTGAGTTTTCCCCAGTTCGTTGGCAGAAAAAGTTTAGTAAACTCATTTTAGGAGGAAAGGATGAGAAAGTTATGAAACTTTTTTTTTCTAATATTAAACAATTTAGCAATTATTTTTTTATTTGGGTTTTTATCGATGGAATTTTAATAAATAAATAATTTTGTTTATTGTTTATTTAAAGTTTCTTATTAATTGTAGGTTTATATATATATAAACCTACAAAGTTTTTATTATTCTTTATTTGTATAATAATGATAATAGAATTATATTTTTAACAATATTTTAATGAAACTTTCCAGCTTAACTTTGATGTATTTAGGAAAAGTTAGAATTCTATGTAATGGAGGAAATTATACAAATATTAAAAAAGCTTTTTTTTTAATATAATTTAAGGTGATAAAAAGTATGAAAATCTCCATTATTGATTTTCTTTATAGCTCTAACTACATTATAACTGATAAATGCAAATTTACTATAAGCAGTTCTTAATAAGATAATGTATTTATATCCAGAATTTTAAAAATTATATTTATAATATAGTTAAAATTTAAATATTCTTTATAACTTCATATTTATTTTTATTTTTATACATCAAATCTAGCAATGTCTCAAAGTCAATGTATGCCACCCCGCTGCAACAAACCAATAACAAGACAGATAAACATACGCAAAACAATAAATATTGTTGTATACATATATAATAATTGTTATTTATATATATAAAGAACTATTTAACACGTGATAAAATTAAAATTTTTAATAATTACATCATGTGTGATAGCATAATTTTTATTATTTAGTGTGATTAAATATGTAAAGATAAAGTTTTTAAAAAGAAATTAATATTTCTACTCTGTATTCCTATTACAGATATTGAATAATTTATATGATTACTTAATGCTGAATAATTTATAAGTTAGTTGCTAAAGTAGTTAATGGATCTTACTAAAACTGTTTCTTGAACGAAGAAACTAAATTATAAATTAATCAAAGAATCATGCTTATATTTTGCAATGAAAATAACCTACAGTTCCTGAATATTATATGAATAACATAAATTATTACAAAAAATAAATAACATATATGTTATTTTTACATGTTGTGTAAATAATTTTAAACAACATATAAAAATAATCTTTAAATTTCTAAATTGATAATGGTGATATGAAAAAAAATCAATTTATTTTCAATGTTGCTTCATCTTTTTATGATATAAATATATTTTTGAATTTGACCAGAATAAAAATAATAAAGATTAATTATTATAATAGTTATATATTTAGAATATATTTTTTCATTCATTTAAATTTAATTACTCTTTAATATTTTATGGATAAAATATATTTTGCTCTTCAAATAAAATGAAATATCTTGAATTTTTAAACTAATAAATACAATAACTTTATTACAATTATAATTAAAATTTTATTTAAAATATTTAAAATTTAATACTTTCTTGTACACCATATATACTTAAATATATTTCATGTTATGTAAAAAAACTATAAATGAAATCTATAAATAATTTAAATGCATATTTTACCGTAGTATATAAATTATATAATACATAATAATAAAAAACTAGCATTTCTTACTTTTTTCGACATTTTAAAAATATAATTTGCATATTTTAAATACTGCATTTTTACAAACCATTTTTGAAATTCAAAATCTAATTATGTGAGTCTATTATTTTATTTTATAAAAGAGTGATAATAGAATATTATGGTTATAAACCACAATAAGAGTGAATTGCAGCATAGAATGGTTTGTAACAGATATTAATATGACAGATGTTCTTTTCCTGTACTTACCCATTATCATTTTTGATAGATGAGATTGTTTGAGACTTCAAAAGTGATGGAAGTGAAAATGCAATAGATTTGTATATAGATATTGAATTATTATTTTAATTAAATGTAGAAAAATTATTTAACTTAAAAAAAATTAAATTTCTTTTTATTTATTTAATGTTAAATTACTCTAGAAATAACATCTGCTATCATTAGAGGAAGAAGAGTAGATTATTTTATACATCTGCTCCTTTATTTTAATTTAATTTTATTTTTTATAAAATTTTCATATATTTTATGAACAAAATGTTTCTATTGTTAAAACAGTTTTTTCATCAAAAATAAAATTAAAATTATTTTATTTATAAAAAAAATAATTAAATGATATATTGACATTTCAGAGAGTTCTTGAATTGTGACAAAAGCATGCCTCCAAATTTATTAGATTATTTTCCTGAGGCAAAGGGAGATGGATTAAGAATTAGTTGGGCCCATGGAGTTAATAGTAAAGTACGTCTCTCTTCAGCACTCAAAGGTAAGATTGAAATGTAAGTAGAAAAGAAGGAATTTAAAATTGTAAACTATTGCACTGTTCATAAATTTGCAATAAAACAAACATTTTGACTGTTTTACATTTATAAATTACATATCAATATTAAATGAATAATAATTTTCTTATTAAAATCTTTTTTGTTTTCTTTCTAACACATAGTAGCAGACAGACCTGGCATTGCTTGGGTTTACGTGTTATGGGTTTTTTTAACCTGGCATGTAAACTTTTAACATGGTTTCTTATTCATTAATACTGTCACATGCAAATTCTCCATTTATACATTTAAAAATTGTTACTTTTAATAGTATTTGTCCTAATAAACAAAGTTGCAATATGACAAAAATTTCACACATATGAAGCTTCAATCACTTCTGACCTTTGTATGATGTAGCTGTCTTGCTGAAAATGCTGTGAGAATCACATGCGTATACAATGGTCCATGAAAGGCTGTACATGAATAAATAACAATTATTTATTTATTGTCACATGAATAGTAATATACAGGATTCTTTTACGGATTCCAACTCTGAGTGTTCCAGAATATCCAAAAATAGGTGTGAGGAATTGAGTAAATACAAAGCAAAGAAATCCGCTTGTGACAATTAAGAAGAGACGGACATATAATCTTACAACTAATACTTATACTAAAATATAAACTAAAAGAGGAAGAAAGGATATCAAAAAGTTTAGTATGATAGAAGAAGAAGTTATAAAGACTATCCAGGTTTTCTGTTTGGTATTGATGCTCTTTGGTGGGGAACCACTATAAATTGTTTTCCAATAATCTTTAGTTGCATCTCTTCAATTATCCTCCTTAAACAAGGAATGTTTGTCTCTCTCTCCTTGCGTTGACAGGACTTTTCTCCTTTGCAGGCCACCTTTGTCTCCCTTTGTCCTAGATGGCAAGCAGGAGCGTAACTGTCTCAAGCAGGAGGGTTATTCTTGGGTCAGACTCTCAGTGAAGGCAGCTTCACTGAGAGTCTGACCCAAGAATAACCCTCCTTATCCATTACAGTAGCTTTGGGGCTCTTGCTTCCCATTGTTTCTGTGGTTCTTAGAAAGGGTTACCCCATCCACAGGAAGGAATGTTAGTTGAAAATTCAAGAAAACAAAAGGGGAAACAAAGAAGAAAGAAAACTTAAAACTAAACTTATATCAAAACATATACAATGATATGGCATATCGCCACAATGCACATTATGCTTAATAATATATCAACCTACAAGCAATAAGACAACCCATACATTTATTCATGAATATAGTCCATTTTATTAACTTTGTCTGGGATGAGCAATTGAATATCAAACATCCTTATTTAGAAAATGGGGGCGCTTGTGGCGTTCGTCAGTGTTGGTGAGTTTTTGTGAGAGCTGTTTTTTTTTTTTGAAGTATAGCACTTTGGATATGTTTGTTTCTACAAAGAGTGTGATTCTTTACTTTGGTTTCACTAAAGTTTTTGATATATATTTATTATTACGTGTTTTATTAGTAATTGGAGGTAGAGTCTAACCCTGGACCGATGTCTCGCATTCCACCTTCCTCCCCTCTTTCAAAGTCATCCATTTCAGCTGTTGGAAAACGTCAAAGATCTCCTAGTGAACCGACTCTGAAATCTCAACGACTGGAATCTTTTTTTCCTCCTTTGACTCCTTCTCCAAATGTACCCCAAAATTTATTTTCTTTTTTAGAGGAAAACTTTGATACTATCTTGACCAAACTTGAAGATTTATCTACTAAATTCGAATGGCTGGCAAATTTGCATAAAGATTTTGAACAACGTCTCCTTAATGTAGAAAAAAATGTAGAGGAAATTTCTAATTTAAATACCTCATATACTGCTTCGACCTCCTATTTTTTATATCTCTTAGATTCATCGATAAATGAATGGCAGAGAAATAATATTGTTATTGCTGGATTAGATGGAAACTCATCTGAAGTTATGTCTTTGGCTTCCGATATTTTGTTGTCTATTAAAAGACCTAGTGGTGGTTCAATTCTGGTGAAAGATCTTAAAATAATTTCAAAAAATAATTTGGTGGTGGCAAAACTTGATACTGTCTCTGATTAAAAAAAAATTATCTACCGGAATGTCCATAATATTCAGAGGAGGGAAGGACGTTCTAGGGTAAAGTTTTTTGATGATCTGTACTGGAGATCGAGGATTAGGAGAAAAAACCTTTTTCCTTTTTATCAAGAGGCTAAGAAGACCAGAAAAAGTGCATTTATGAGAGCTGATTGTCTAACAATTAATGGAGAAAACTTTACATTTGATTTATTAAGTAATAAGCTGATGAAGATTGAACCTTTTTTATCACTAGGGAAATTGTCGGATCGTCGAATGGACGAGAATTAAAAAATTCAACTGTTATTCCTTATTCAGAGGTTTTCTATATGTTAAAGGTATTATCATGGAACAGTCAGGGTTCATTGTTTGCTAACTTTTCTGACAAAAATTTTGCTGATTTTATATTATCATATCATATTGTTGGCATAACTGAATCATGGATGACATCCTTGTTGAAAACCCTTCTTTCATCACTGGACTCTCAATTCTATTTCATTGAAATGTTAGCTCATAAACTTAAAGAACCTGGAAGACCATCTGAAGGTTTGTTTTTAGTGGTGTCTTGGAAACTTGGTGAGTTAGAAATTTGTCATCTCTCTGATGATAACTTTATTATAGCTAAACTTACATTTGATAAACTTCGTTTAGAGATCATCCTGGGCTCTTAATTGTTCTGGTTTATATATCTATTCACAAATACGATTCATTGATTGAGTATCTTGATAGACTGATTCTGGATCTTAAAGATGTTGATGATATTTTGATTCTCGGTGATTCCAATGCTAGAATTGCTTCCAAATTAGATACACTATATATAGGTTCTAATAGAAATTTTTATAATACTAGAAAATCTAAAGATAAGATTTTTAACTATAGAGGAAAAGGATTTTTGAACTTGGTCAAATCTTATGGTATGATTTTATTGAATGGTCGATTCGTTACTGATTTCCCTGCTAATTTTACATTTCTTTTCTCTTTGGGTGCATCAGTTATTGATTTGATAGCTACAAATCCTGAATTAGTTGATAACTTGGTGGACTTTAGAGTTTTGAATAAATTTGATTCTGATCATCTTCCTATTTCTATTGAGTTCAGGTTTGATTCTCTTCCTTTCAGCAATGAATTGCCTACTGAAATATGTCGTTTTGTGTGGAGATCTTCATGTTTGGACAAGTATTTGTACAGTGTCACTCAGTGATATGCAGAAATTAAAGGCGGATTTTTTCTGGATTCTTTTTCTTTTTATTTGTCTTTTGTTGACACTATTCTTGAGTCTGTAATTCAAAGTAATATATATGTCAAATATGACTGCTCAAGAAAATTTGTGTCTTGGTTTGATATTGATTGCCTACGATTGAAGAGAGAGAAGAATCGTGCTCTACGTTTATTTCGGCGATCAAGAACTAAACAACAATTTATTATTTATTCTAATTTGGAAAAAACTTTTAAATCTCTCTGTAAAGCCAAAAAAAAATTATTTTGGAATAAGATTAATTTTCAATTATCATAAATTAAAAACTCTGCTGAATTTTGGAAAATTGTTAATAAATTTAGAAACGGCAAAGTTGTGTATAATAACATTTCTATTTGTGATTGGTTGGTTTATTTGAAAACTTTTTTCCTGGACCATGTTTAGCTGTACTATCTATTTGTACTAATGATAACACGTATCCATTACTCGATGAAAATTTTTCATTTGATGAATTACAGTTTGTAGTAAAATCTCTAAAAAATAAAGCCCCTGGATTAGATGCTGTAAAGGCTGAGATGATTAAATTCCTTCCGATTAATATTTTAAATGATTTGCTATCTTTATTTAATAATTTTAAAACTAATTACTCTTTTCCTATTACTTGGAAAAATATTTGTTTAAAAATGATATATAAGAAGGGTAATTGGTTTGATCCTTTGAATTACCGTCTGATATCGTTAATTAGTGTAATTAGAAAAATTTTTTCTACGTTATTGGCTAATTGTTTGCGAGTCTGGCTTGAGCGGTTTCATACTATTTCTATTGGTCAAGGTGCTTTTGTAGTGAATAGAGGTGTTGGCTATAATTTATTTATATTTCTTGGAATTTTGCAATTAATTTTGACTAAGAAGCGGAGGAAACTATACGTTGGATTTATTGATTTGTCAAAGGTGTTTGATGCAATAGACCATGATATTTTATGGTGGAAGCTTTCTCGGATAGGTATATCATCATCTTTTATTAATCTTATAAGACAATTGTTTTTGAACACCACTTATCAAATTGAAGTTAATCGTTGTTTTTCGGAGATGGTAACTGCCAACAAAGGTCTTCCACAGGGTGAACCACTTAGTCCTATTTTATTTAATTTATTTGTTAACGATATTTCGGAATTTTTTTTGTAATCATAACACTATGGGTATATCCATATCACCAGAGATAGAATTGAATTGTCTTTTGTTTGCTGATGATATTGTAATATTTTCGTATTCACCTATTGGTCTTCAGAAAAAACTTGATCTTCTACAAGACTACTGTAAATCTAATAAACTATTTATTAATGAGATTAAATCTAAAGTAATGGTTTTTCGGAGAGGAGGTAGACTGGGAAAGGCTGATAAATTCTATTTATCTAACTCTGAGTTGGAGATTGTTTCGTCCTATAAATATCTGAGTATTTATTTTACTCCACAGGGTTCATTTTCTTTTCACCTAGACAAATTGTTTTTGAAATATAAACTTCAGCTTTCTAATTTAATAAAGCTTATGGTAAGAATAAAACAGTCTTCCATTAAGTTGTATTACCGATTGTTTGATTCCTTGATACATTCAAGTATAGGCTATATGTTCCCTATTTGGGGATCATCTTTTGTTGATAAATTGGAGAAGACGCAATTGAGATTTATTAGATCGATATTTCATATTAATCGTTCGGTGCCTGGACCT